AAATTTCAGCAGGCTCTTTTATGAATCATAAAGTTTCAAAAGGCCATCTTGTTGGAAAGGGCTCAGTGCAGGAATCCCAAGTAAAACATCCTAAACAGATGACTAGCTAGCCATCAATTAATCAGATCCAACAAAGGTCAGCCTACCAGTTCTCCTCAGAATTTCAATATCACTAATTGCTAATACTCTGGGCAGTTATGATCTTAACCATTCTTTGTTAATGATGTACAATCTCTACCTCATAAAAATAATCAAGTATATTATAAGAAGATTTAAATCCATATTAACAAAAGCTTTTCAATATCAAACAATACAGAAAAAATAGTTGCTGATTGTCTCTGAGATCCTATTATATAATCTTTTAAAAATCTCTAAATCCACACAATCATTAGCTCAGGGCTTTATATATTCAAAAGGGAACTGAAGGTGTTCCTACCACTTTACTGACATATTACTTTGCAATTGTGATAGAGAAAATATGGTTACTCCCCAACAAAGTTATATAACAATCCAATATTTTTCCTTATATTCTAAAATCTGATAATAAAAATAAGTCTTATCAAAATGTCTATTTCACCTTTGAAGAACTCAAACAGATTTGAAGAGTATTTATTTGAGAGTGCAATACATATGAAGCGCAATGGCAATTTGTGTAAAATCTTATGCACATTTTAGTTTCTCTGTTTTTTTTCCAGTCTGAACTGTTCAGCTTTGGGGTCAATAACAGGAGTATATAAACAATCTAATTTTATACTATATATGAATCCTTTGACTTTCTTTTTCAATATTTGTAACATCCAGCATATGGAGTGGAGAGACTTATCTTCAATCTTGTAAAGAGAAAAATAACTTCAACATTAAAAGTTTGTCCTAAAAATACCTAATTCCTTTGAATAACAAAGTTACTTTTCTGCCACTGAAGAGAATATTACAAAAACCAGTGTTGTGAATACAGTACATGCTTGTTGACAGAACAAGGCTTCTGTTCTCAGAACTCTCAACAAGATACATTTCAAAGAAAGTTTTGGGACATTTTTATTTCATCTTTTTCTGTTAGTGCAGTAAAAAAAAATGTATGGGTTAGTCAGGATGCTTAAAATAGCAGTTTCAAAAGAAGAAATAAAAAAAAGCTTAATGACCAGGAACAGCAAATTTATGGCAAGTGCTTTGTCTAATTTGCCCTAATATAACAGTATTAAAGCTGAAGTGGTCCAACTTGTTATTCCCTTAAAGCAGCTAGCAGCCCCTAATAACCACTAGAGCTCAGGGGAAGAAGGAGCCTGAGATTCCAAATGAACTGTGTGAGAAGCTTAAAGAAGCACTAAAGGTTGATAAATGGCTTACTACTCATAAAAATGACTGCACCATGCACAAGGACGGGTTTGGGTCGGAGCCAAATTATATGTGCCCTCAAGCTTGAGGAGCACCGTTTTAAAAGGTGCTCATGATTCTAAGTCAGCAGAACATTTTGGATTTGTGAATATCCTGCACTTGGTTAAGGGGCAGTTCTGGCAGCCTTCTTTGAAGAAAGACATTGAAAGCTATGTAGTCAGCTGTCCAATTTGTGCAGCGGTGAAGAGACCACCGGGGAAGTCCACAGGGCCTTTACAGACTGTGGCCAGCCCCCAGGTACTATGGAAAGAAGTATCTATGGACTTTATTATGGAATTGCCTGAAAATGGGAGGAACACTGTTCTTTCGCTTGTTACTAATCTTTTTTAAAAAAAACAAATGCACTTTGTTCCCTGCCCCAAGATTCCTTCCGCAAAGATACTAGCTGAACTTTTCGTACAACAAATGTATAGGTTGCACAGTATGCCTGAGCGCACTATTTCAGATAGAGGAGTGCAATTTACATTACAGTTTTGGCAGGAATTTTTGAAGCTGCTGGGAACTGCCCAGGGCTTGAGCTCCTCCCGTCACCCCCCCCCAAACTAACGGGGCATGTGAGAGAACCAACTCAGTCATGGAACAATACCTCAGGTGCTACATTAATTACCAACAAGACAATTGGCCTTTTGCAGAGATAGCATATAACAATTCTGTGCATAGTAGCACAGGGTTCACCCCATTTAAGGCATCCTCCAGTCAAGACTTTGTAGCTATGCCAGGAGTTGCCTCAAGAGAAACCACACGTACCCTCCTTAGTGGAGTGGATAGCACAACTGCAGAACACTTAGCCAATAGCCCGTAAGGCACTGGAGGAGGCACATCAGGCACATAGAAACAAGCTGACACAAACATGTGAAGCCAAAAGATTTTAAAGTAGGTTTACCTCTCCACAAAGTACTTACAGTCCACCCCAAAATAAAAAAAACCTGGAATCTAAATATATGGGGCCATTCCCAATTGTTAAAGTAATTAACCCAGTCACTGTACAACTGGAGTTGCCCAAGAATCTTAAACATATTCATCCTGCGTTTCACTCCAGTTTATTGAAACATGAAACTGTGTCACCCCTTCACCCTGCACCTTAACACCCCTCTTGTGCCCACTCTAATCAAAGGAGAGCAGTATTTTGAAATTAAAGAAATTCTGTAGTCCAGGAAACATAGAGTGAAGGTCAAATACCTCATTGCCTGGAAACACTGTCCGAATGGGTGGATGCCAAACATATCCGGGCACTAAACTCCTCCAGATCTTTCATAGAAAATACCCCAACAAACCCTGAATGAATCACTGTCCTTGTTGAGATATGTTGTTTGTTTTACTTGTATTAATTTTATATGTGTTGCTAAAGCCTCTGTTACATGGAGCCGAATGTCAGGCAGCCTGCTAGTTGCTGCCATAAAAATGAGGGGAGGGGTCAAGGGAGAATTTTTTATTGCTGCTTTGCAACTACAGCCTGTGCTTTGCTTATCTCTCCAAGGTCATTTCTTCTAGCTTTGGTATGCAGCAGCCAAAGATGATGTACTTGAATCAAAGACTTTCTCAAAACATTTCCTGGCCGGTGCTTTCCCTCAGATTGCTTAGCTACCAGGGGGGTTGGGCTTTACAATTTGTTTCAAGTTGCTGCATCGCGCACCTTTGCCTCAGATCTTGCCTGAAACTTGTTGTATTCAGTTCTCTCCTAGTAAAAGTACCTTTTCTCTGAATCTATGGAGCCAAGGGTTTTTCTTTCCTAGGAATTGGATGGAGACAGCCCTGACAATAAGCTTTATTAGCTTTATTTTAACCTGAGTAAAATAAAACAGAAAATGAATATACAGAATTTAAAGTTATAAACAACTACCCTGTTACCTTTTTCAATATACAACAGAATGGGTTAATTTAAACAGCATATTAATGGGACCTCAAATGGCAAGAAAACTGATCAATAAAATTTTGTGAACTCCCAGACGCCTAGAGTCATGAGATCTCAATGGCTAGTCATGATTTTTATAGTTTTTGAAATATGCACTGATTCATTCAAGCAAGGCTTTTATCATGCACAACATGTTGAAACCGGAATTTAGAAAAAGAGATAGCTATTGTTTTACACTATGTTTTGCATTTATCACTTATCTATTGTCTCCTTTGAAATAAAAAAAAGGCTGACTAAGAATGAATCAAGCTTTTCAATTCTTGTTCAAAATACTAATTTTGGTTCTTCACTTAATAAACTATTTTATTCCCATCTGACCTTTACTACCATTACTATAGTACTACATTCACTATTAGCTAAGAAAATACAAACTTCTGCTTGATTCACTCATAACACATTATAAAATGTGTCTTCACTGTTTTTCTATTTGCAACATTACAAATCCCCACTTTGCTTTATTAATAATTGTTCTTTCTGCCCAGGTAAAACAAATTTATTTATTTATTTATTTATTCAATTTATATGCCGCCCCTCTCCAAAGACCCACATTAGAGGGTAACATTATTCATGTAAAAGACAATGGACAAGAAATGAAAAACCAGAATTTAGATCACCTCCTAGAGTATAATCCAAGAGTATTGAAGAGCTCAAATACTTACTTTAGGTGCTTTCAAATGATGGTTAGAAGTTACATTTCCTTTATTTATAGTAGTTATGTGGAAGAAAGGTTTTTAGCTAAAATTCTCTTCTTTACCTCCTCTCTTATTTTTTATTTGTTGTTTGTTTGTTTTGTTTTGTTTTATTAGATTTATATACCGCCCTACTCGCCCGCCCTACCTATTTGACCACAGTATGCAATGTTTGCCTTCAGGGTAATGACAGATCTTTGCTGCTTCAGAGAAGTCAAAGCTTTACAGGTTTGGGAAGGGCTATTTTCACAAACCAAACCTTTTACCCATACATATCTTACTTTTTCTGTTTTTAAAGCTGAATTTAATGTGATTTGTTGCTGGTAAATATCTATTGTTTTATATAGTTTTGATTGCTTATTTAGTATCCTATGACTATCACTAAGTGTTGTATCTTATGATTCAGGATGAATGTATTTATGATGACCATGATTTATCACTTATATCTTTTATGTACACTGAGAGCTTATGCACCGAAGACAAATTCCTTTTGTGTCCAGTCACACTTGACCAATAAATAAGAATTCTAGATGGAGAAATAAATATTAACACGGGATGGATCTAGTTCCAGCAGCACTTTCAGACTGGTCTGATTAATTATTGTATCAATTTAGTATGGCATTTTCAGTTAATCAAGGAAAGAGTTAAAGAAAATGCAGTCATATTTTATCAAAATATAATAATATTCATGTAATTGTTTCTCTTGAAATCTACATACAGTGGTACTTTGGTCCTTGTTGGTAATTCGTTCCAAAAGATGTGTTGAATACTAAAACCAATGGGTACCAAGAAAACCACATGACTTGCCACTTGACTCACTACTTTGGCCGGAAGAAATAGCGAGTCATATTGCAGTCAACATCAGCAAGTTCTTTCTTCCATTGGATGCCGGTACAAGATTTCTGCTTCAAAATGCGTCCAATACCAAATTTGACAAGTTTTGAAGCAGTTGAGTGCTGAGTGTGCTATTAAAATGTTGAGTCTTTTTAAAAGCAAGATATACTTACAAACTGAAAACAACTCCTAACACTGGGTTCAATATTACTGCCACCAAAAGAAGCAACTTCTCCCAGCTGCCTTGGAATCTGGATAGAATCATGGAGGAGAAGACCAAGACGACGTTGATCACAGAATCCAGTGGGACTAGCTACTTGCTTGAACAGATCTGAAAAATTGAATAAAAATATGGGGAAAATTCATGCAAGCAAACTAGAGTATATTGCACATGATGTTACTAAATTATTACAATAATTTAGACAAGTACAAGGCATGGGACTTTATATTATACTTGGAATTTTTTATTTATCTCGTGTAAAAATTCCCAGGAAGCTTTGTCAAATTGCAAATAGTGTTTCCAAGAAAAAAATGCATTCTATTACAAAGGTTCATCAGCCCCAGGGACTGTTAAAGTAAAATTCAACTGACTATGAATTTGCTACACTGCATGTATTTTTTTAGCAACTACACAGCACATCTGTAACAGAAGGAAGACCAGCTTGAAAAGACCTGAAATATTTATTTGACACTAATGCAGTTGCCAAAACATGACCTGGATAATCTTTATTTTTCAACGTGTTAGAAACTTTTCAGTGCAATGAAAAAATATGGTTTTACTTTTACAGCTTCTTTAATATTTCATACTTCAGTAGGAAAGTTCTCATGTTGTATACAGCTATTTTTAGAAGAGTTTTACACCTAATTTTATTTTGGTTCTCTTTAAGTTGTTAAAATAAAGAAATATAATTCCTAATCAAATTTTAGTATTTTACTATTCAATCTACAATTTCCTGCATACTCTTTCAAAGCCCTAGACAATCTCTCTGTGTCAGGTTATCAGTGACATGTTTTGGATTTACTATAATTTGCTTACCATTTAGGTAAGAATACTAAAAGGGAATACAGACAGAAAATAATCTTCTGATATGTTCAATATACTATGAGATTTTGTTGGTCTTCAAGAAGAATTTGCAACTTGGCTTGCAAATGAAATTAATAATTATGACAAGCCAGTTTCTTCTAAATGCCTGGCAGTGTCTATGTGACCTTCACCAAGATATAAGAAATATCAATTCTGCTCATATGAGGGATTAAACACACTCCTGCATTCTAACAGAATACAAGTCTAGGATACAAGGTGGATATCTGTAGCTAAAGAACAAGTTGTTATGCAAAGTTAAAAAAAAAAAGAGTTTAAGAATAAAGAAAAATAAGAAAAAAACCAGACTGAAAATAACAATTGTAAACAAAATGGGCTGACAAATATGCTAATGAAAATAGTAAAATAAAATAAAAAATGCAAGGAGTTACACTAGTCACATGGGATATACAGGGATGGAAGCTCCCACCAAGAATTCTGTAGGCTTTGGAAGTTTACAAATGGGATTGCATAGGTGTATAAACCATCTGTGTGAATAACAGAAACCATTTCATTCCTTCTATTGATGCTAAGGTGATTTACATTAAAAAAGTAACAATTAAAGAAGAAAAAGATCATGATAGATAAGAAAGATGATGAAGGTTCAGGTTACTTTTCTTTTGTGTTTAATAGCAGAAAGAAAAGTATAGTAGAAAATCACTTTAGAAGCAATGTCATGATGTATCTGCAATGAATATTTTTTTTAAAATGGGCAATCATAATCAATACATTTAAGCCATCTAGTGCATGAGAGGGGATGGAGCCTCCCAACAACTCCAGTCACAGAGAACGGTCACCTCCGTTCCTGTGCTGGTTTTCTCCATGCTTGTGAGCTCCAAAAGGAGCCAAAGCCACCCTGTAGAGGCGGTGAAGGTAAGGAAGCGGCACTCTGTGAGATCCCAGGAGAGATTGCAATCTCCTGTAGAGCCCCAGAGCTTTTTTCCCTCTATGGCACGACGGGAAGCAGCCTAAGATGGCTGCCACAAAGCTGGGAGAGAGGACGACCATCTAAGCACAGTGCTGGAATGAAGTTGGTGGACAGTGTTTGGAACTGAGTGAGAAGAACTTTATTTATTTGAATTCTCAGACTCCAAAAAGAATTTGGAAAAGGTTTCACAATTATTTAATGGAATAGCGACCGGGCACTTTGAAAAAATATTAAAATTGGAAGAGGCAGAATCAGAGGGGTAAAAAAGGCAGAAAAATTGCTAAAAATACAGAAAATTGGACTTTTAAACTGGACAGGCATTTTATTGGAAAGGCATCTTGAAATGCTGGAATTATTCATTCAAAAATTAACATTACATTGTGGAAAATTGGAAAAATAGTTTAATATTGAAATTTAATTAAAGAGTGCCACCTGCTGACGAAAGGAAGAACAAATATTCACAAAATTTCGTTTGTCTACTGGAGATTTAAATGTGAAAGAAAATCACGTTAGATTACAATATAAGATTACAATATAAGAATGGATTTATAGAGGGATTTAAGGGGCTCTCCAGAGGAACAGGTAGATTAAGTTTGGAATATAAAGAAATAAGAACACTGAGCATTTTGAGAAGTGCTTGTAGGTTTGAACATATGGTTTTTGGATTATTGGACAAAAAGGGGATTCAATAAAACTCAACAAGATGCTTCATCTAGAAGAATGGAGTGGAATTTGGGAAGAAGTGGCATCAGCAATTCAAAGTACAAAGGAGACACTGACAAGACACTACCAGAAAATTATGGAAAAAATGGAGAGTATAGATGAAATACTGGGAAATATAATACAAGAGATAGTGTTCAATATATATACATATTCCTAATGATGGTTTATCACTGTTAACTGCATTTTGATTAAATTTCTTGAAACATGGTGTCAGAAGTCTGAATCCATGTCTTCCTGATAGATTTTAGGCATACTCCTGGAAGCCAAGCAGTTGAAGCATGACAGCTGTTAACAGCATACCTCTGCCTGAGGCCATGAGGGTGAGTGGAAACTGCAGCAGCAATTGGGATACATTCAGGGCAGAGTTTGAAGATTATTCCTTAGCTACAGGCTTGAATGATAAGCCAGCAGCAGTACAAGCTGCCACATTAAGGAGATTGAGGAGCAGGAACTTAAATCATTTTGCAGGCGTGTGTCAGGCACGGAAAAGGGAAGTGAGGAAGCTGCACACAAATGAGCAAACATCAGACTTGGAGGATGCATCCTTGTTTACCACAGATGTGGTTTATAGGAAAGAATGTATTGGCGCAGTACACTCTAAGGGCAAAAAAATGGTTTGTAAATCTCAGTTTTAACAACATAATTCAACCCTGCCAGCTGGACTCAGGTGCGACATGTGATGTTATGAGTCTAAAGGATAAAATGAAGCTGGCACCTGAGATACTTCTTCAGCCTAGCAGTACTAAATTGAAGTTATATTCAGGGAAACTAATGGACTCACTGGGCCAATGTGTGAGTTACCCCCCCCCCTCCAAAATCTCTGGTGAGACCATTGACAAAACAGTTAATCCTCCAAGTTTACAAGGAGGTGTTTTGAGAGCCCCATAGTATTTGTTCCAGGAGAGGTTCATTTTGAACTTGACTCTACCATTTCTCCAGTACAAAGTGCTCCACGTAATGTGCCTAAAGCACAACTGGATAAGTACGAGGCGGAAGGACATATTACATCAGTATCTGAGCCCACTGATTGGATAAGCAACATGGTTGTTATTAGGAGGCCGGAGCAGATTAGAATTTGCATTGATCCTAAGTTTCTGAATATGGCCCTGAAACGGTCACACTATTTAATGCCAACACTTGATGATGTTTTGCACAAGCTATCCAAAGCATGGGTTTTCATGTTTTTCGACACTAGAGATGCCTTCTTACAGTGTAAACTGGATGAGACAAGTAGCTACATGACTATGTTCTGGACTCCATGGGGTAGAAAGAGATGGCTCAAATTACCCTTTGGAGTTTCCGTAGCACCAGAGGTGTATCAACAAAAACAGCACAAATTACTAAGTGGGCTCAGTGGAATTGAGCCAATAGCTGATGAAATTCTTATAGTTGGCTGTGGTGAAACAGGGGAAGAAGCTGAGCTATGACTGTGATGAGAATCTAATAGCATATTAGATCAGTGTAGGCAGGTGAGGTTAAGGCTCAGTGTAAAGAAGTTGCAGTTTAAGGTGCAAGAAGTCTGCTTCCATGGGCATATCTTGTCCTCACGAAATTTAAAAGCTGATCCAGATAAGATTAGAGCCATTGTGGAGATGCCACCATCTGCTGATGCTAAATCAGTGCAGAGATTTATCAGTTTTGTTACCTATTTAGCAAAATTTCTGCTGTAGCTGTTGGAGGTGTGTCAGACATTAAGATGCCTTCTGGACAAAGATGCAGTTTGGCACTGGCTTCCCAAGCATGACCAGGTAGTACAGGAGATAAAACGCTTGGTCACCTTTGCTCCAGAATTAAAATATTATGATGTTACAAAGACCGTTACTATTCAAAGTGATTCAAGCTAAAATGGCCTAGGATGTTGCCTATTGCAAGAAGGTCAGCCAGTTGCACATACGTCCAGAACGATCTCTTCTGCCGAGTTGAATTATGCTCAAATTGAAAAGGAATGCTTAAGTATTGTATTTGCCTGCCAGCGTTTCCATCATTATCTTTATGGCCGGGATACAATCACAGTCGAAACTGATAACAAGCCACTAATAGCCATATTCAAGAAGCCCTTTTTTGTGCTCCCAAATGGCTGCAGAGCATGATGCTTAGCTTACAGAATTACAACCTCAATGTTGTCTACAAGCCAGGATGGGAAATGTATATCAGTGATGCCCTGAGTAGGGCTATGTTAGATCAGGTGACACTTGGGAGCAGAACACGAGCATCAGACGGTTTGCTGGTTGCAACAGGAACAAACTTTCTTTGCCGAAATTAATCAAACAGACTATCTTAATGTCATAAATCAGCAGCTATGTATTAATGAGTGTGCAGAATCAGATAGATTAACTAGATTGATCAATGGTAAAAAAGATTCAGAATTTTATAACAGTTGGAAAGTATGGCACGATTGGGTCCAGAAAAGGTGGGATAGAATAGATATATGATGATGTATATATATATATATATGGTGGCAAATATGTATGTATAAAGGAATGATTTTATACTTATGGACAATGTAATCATATTATACCATGGTGGCAGGATTGTATATTTTATTTGTGTATTAGTGTATAGAATATATTAATAAAAATTATATAAAAAAAAAAATCAG